ACGTAAGCACCTGTAAATATTTAAGGGTAACTCCCACCGAGTTCATACGACTATATAATTAGTATCAGTTGAAAGGTAAACCACTCTTCTTGGATATACTATCAACTATTCGGGTCTATGCCCTTCAGAAGTAAATATATACGCCATAGAATACAAATTTTGTAATTTTTCACACAAAAGTCGGGGTACATTTGACCCGCTAAATATTTACCAATCTTTATCAAAACAGGCATGCTTATTCTTTAGCCCGATCCCGTTCTCCATGTAAAATTTCGGGCCATAATTGCGTCCCCTGGAGCGACCAGAAAAACCGACAAAAATTTAGTATTTGGTCCATTCATCCCTTAAATATTAACCGATCTTTCCCAAAAACAATAGAGGTCTTCATTGGCCAGAACCCATTCTACATGCAAAATTTCGTGAAGATTGGTCCATAACTGTGGCCTGTATCGTGTTTACAAATTATAATGGACAGACGGACGGACGGACACACATGTCTAGATCGACTCAGCTAGTCGAGATATGATCGGTATACTTAAAGGTGGGTCTAGGAAAAATATTTCGCGGCGTTGCAAACTTTCGGGGCTGCACAAAGCTATAATACCCTGACAACATAGTTGTGTAGGGTATAAAAATCGACTAGAAAAATTAACTAAAATTCACAGAATAATTAAAATAAAGTCGCCTTAGAAACTTTTTTTCAAAATTTAGCTGGGAAAAATTAAATTTGAAACTGCATTCTTGTTCACTTTTTTCACTCCCTTGGAAACACTCGAACATAGACCCTCATATATTTAACGCCTTTTTGTCAAATTATCTATCATTTTTGCATTAATTTATTTAAACACTGCATAAATTATTATTAATATTTCATTGTACAAAAGCAGATAATGATAATGGATCCGGTTTGACAAATATCGAACCAACGTCACTTGAATGTTACTGTATCTATAATAGCAACAAATACAACAACCATAATTTGGCAGCCGCTTTGTTGTTGTCTTTCTGAATTTCAATGTGTGAGATTTTCTCTGTTATGCTTTAATTTAAATTAAATAGATTTTTTATTTATTATGGTAACACTTTTAAAACAAACTGAATTTAGTTATATTCTTCTTCTTGTTTTGCGAATATGAAAACAATGGCATTTTTAATTATTTAGGGCATTTGAAAAAAAACTCGATTTTTGATATGCAACCGTAACAATGAGAACAACTAATTGGTGACTTTGAAAGAAATTATGATTTATGATAATTTGAAATCACATTAAAGAATAGTAGCTGACACTTGCATACAGAAATGTGCGGACACAAAAAATAATTTTAACACCAGTGAGCGGAGCAGTATAGTCGACGGGGCCGACCATACGATACCCTACACAACTTCCACGAAAAGCTAACTTTTTTGTGGTCCTATATTCTGAGCTTGGGCAAGATTTCTCAATATTTTTACCCTCTTGACCGACTAGAGGTCAACAAATATTACTAATATTCAGTACAGTCCTTCTAATTACTTGTCCAGATTCCCTTCACCGTGGGTTGTGTTGTGATGTTCGGCTTTCAATTGGGCATGTAGATCGACTCGAAAAAACACAAAAGATTAAGTTTACGGTCCACTTCATCCCAATATTATTATCTGATCATCACCGAAAATTATAGGCATTGTCCTTGACCATAACTCGAACCTCATGAAATTTCATTTCAAAGCCATCAGCGCTATATTGCCGCCATCTAGTGTGTTAATGGGTTACTAAATAATATCTGAATACGTAAGCACCTGTGAAGTTTTAAGTGTAACTCCCACATCAGAGTACACACGAAAATATAACTGATATTAATTTAAAGGTCAGCCACTCCTCTGGGATATACTGTCAACTTCTCGGGGATATGTCCTTCAGGGGTAAATATATACGCTACAGAATACAAATTTTGTATAATTTCACACAAAAGTAAGATTGCATTTGACCCACAAAATATTCACCGATCTTTATCAAAACAGGCATGCTTATTCTTTGACCCGATCCCCTTCTCCATGCAAAAATTCGCCATGTTTGGGCCATAATTGCGACCTGTGGAGCGACCAGAAAAACTGACAAAAATTAAGTATTTGGTCCATTTCATCCCTTAAATATTAACCGATCTTTACCAAAAACAATAGGGGTCTTCATTGGCCAGAACCCATCCAACATGCAAAATTTTGTGAAGATTAGTCAATAACTGTGACCTGTATCGTGTTTACAAATTATAATGGACAGACGGACGGACTGGCACACATGTCTAGATCGATTCAGCTAGTCGAGATATGACGATCGGCATACCTAAAGCTGGGTCTAGGACCAATATTTCGCGGCGTTACAAACTCTTGGGGCTGCACAAAGCCATAATACTCCGACAACATAGTTGTGTAGGTTATAAAAATCTACGCCTATTGTTGGGTATGTGAAAAATAATTTTTAAACCAGTAAGGAAAGTAATAAAATCGAAATGGGCCGACTATATGATAACCTTCACCACTTTGTGTACATTGTACATATGTATCCTTACAATTGTATGTCAATGTTCCCACGATGGAGCAGACTCATTTCTTTCTGCAACATATGATAAATTTAATTTCATTCGGGCAGATTTAGAGTTGTCTGCGTACCATGGAACAAATGGAAAACAATTTATAGCAAAATAGATACACGCTATTCGGTACGCTATTCCAAATTTCGTGCACATCGAAAGATATTTAAGAACTTTGGTGTACCATTTACCCTAAATCGGACGAAAATATATATGTGAGCTATATCTAAATCTGAACCAATTTTCACGAAACTTAGCACACGTCATTCTAGGCTCAATTCACAACGCTATTCCAAATTTCGTTCACATCGAAAGATATTTAAGGACTTTGGTGCACCATTTCCTTTAATCGGACGAAAATATATATGGGAGCTATATCTAAATCTGAATCGATTTTCACGAAACTTAACACACATCATTCTAGGCTCAATTCAGTACGCTATTCCAAATTTCGTGCACATCGAAAGATATTTAAAGACTTTAGTGCACCATTTGTATTAAGTCGGATGAAAATATAAATGGGAGCTATATCTAAATCTGAACCGATTTTCACGAAACTTAGCGCACATCATTCTAGGCTCAATTCAGTACGCTGTGCCAAATTTCGTGCAAATCGAAAGATATTTAGTTACTTTGGTGCAGCATTTACCTTAAATCGGACGGAAATATATATGGGAGCTATATCTAAATATGAACCGATTTTCACGAAACTTAGTACACATCACTCTAGGCTTAATTCACTATGATGTGTCAAATTTCGTGCAAATCAAAAGATATATAGGGACTTTAATGCACCATTTACCTTAAATCGGATGAAAATATATGTGGGAGCTATATCTAAATCTGAACCGATTTTCACGAAACTTAGTACACATCATTGTCGACTCAATTCAGTACGCTATACCAAATTTCGTGCAAATCGGAAGATATATAGGGACTTTGCCATACCATTTACCTAAAATCGGGCGAAACTATATATGGAGCTATATCTAAATCTGAACCGATTTTCACGAAACTTAACACACATCATTCTAGGCTTAATTCAGTACGCTGTTCCAAATTTCATGCAAATCGAGAGATATTAAGGGTCTTTGGTACACCATCTACGAATCGGACGAAAATATATATGGGAGCTATATCTAAATCTGAACCGATTTTCAAGAAACTTGGCACACATCAGTCTAGGCTTAATTCAGTACGCTGTGCCAAATTTCGTGCAAATCGAAAGTTATTTAGGGACTTTGGTACACCATTTACCTTAAATCGGTCGAAACTATATACGGGAGCTATATCTAAATCTGAACCGATTTTCACGAAATTTTACACACATCGTTCTAGACTTTATTCAGGACTCTGTGCCAAATTTCGTGCAAATCGAAAGATATTAAGGGACCATTTACATTAAATCGGACGAAAATATATATGGGAGCTATATCTAAATCTGAACCGATTTTTTTTTCAATTTCAATAGGGTTCGTCCTTGGGCCAAATGAATGAGCTATGCCAAATTGCATCCAATTCGAATCCAAAATGCGACCTGTACTTTGTTTACAATTTAACATGGACGGACGGACCCACGGACGGACATGCATAAATCGACTCAGAAAGTTATTCTATGCATATTCTCAAAAGAAACAATGTGTCTATCTCGTTTCATTTTGCCTGTTACAAAAATATGCACAAAGACATAATACCCTGTACCACAGTGTGGTGAAGGGTATAGAAATCCACGCCTATTGTTAGTTATGAAAAATAATTTTTAAAAAATCCACGCCTATTGTTGGGTATGAAAAAAATTGCTTTCCCTCATTTTTTGCTATTTAACCTGGTCTAATTGTATCCATTTAATGGCTTAATTGCTTTTACCGTTATAGCCTCACTGGGGTGTAAATATTATAAATGAATGGCTTATAAAAAAACCTTGAGGAAGATCGATACTCTGGAAACTGGCTTCAAAATATTGCACGAATTAAAACAAGAATTAATTTTTGAAACCTGCTGCTACCTTCTGCACTTGCACTCAAGAATTCCCAAAATCGAAACGTAATATCGATTTTTTTTTGTCTTTGTGTTTTTTGTTGTTTTATTATTCCATTTAGGCAGTAATTTTTTTTTTTTTTTTTTTTGGAATATAATTATTATGCAATTATTATCAGAACGGCAATGACAGTCAAACCCATGTATTAATGGACCGGGTTGTATGGGTATCCTCAACAGAAATTGCTGATCATATATGGGTTTGACTGTAAAAAATATATCTAGCATGGCCAGTATTTTTTTTTTAATAATTTCATAATTTTTGAAGAAAAAATGTCTTTAAGCCTTCTTACATTCCCAATCATATAAATAGACACTGGAGAGCTCTGACTAGGCACAGTCTAGCAATTGAAGTAATTAATTGATATACTTTGGATAAAAAACAAAAACACAACAACAATGTTGAAATTCGTAAGTCCATTTCAATTGAAGGGATTTGTCAGGATTAGCTTTTTGTAAAGACTTGACTTATTTTTCTCGCCCTCACCAAATATAGCTCATCCTTGCCACTTTGGTTGCTTATGCCGCCGCTGCTGCCACTGCCACCGGCGATGATATCCATGCCGAGGTAAAGAGCATGAAATCTGATGTTCGTGCCGACGGATTTGAATACAACTTGGAAACATCCAATTATATTCGCGAAGAAGCTGCCGGTGATGAACATGGCAATATGCATGGCTCCTATGAATATTTGACTCCTGATGGACAACATGTTAAGGTGACCTATACTGCCGATGAAAATGGTTATCATCCCGAAGGTGAATGGATTCCCACACCACCACCAATTCCAGATTATATCTTGAAGGCCATTGAATACATAAAGGCTCATCCTTCCAAGGAAGAACATTAAATGCTAGGAGAAATCCCTACTAATTGAGAAATAGGAGAACGACCAAATAAAAGAATACGAAGTGGATTATGATCTTGAATTGTGATAAATATTAGATATTTTTTTCTGTTATGGAAAAAACATATTTTTTTAATAATGAATAATAAAGGACTATAATTTTTAGAATGCACGAAATTTCAAGGCGTAGATTTTTATAAAAAAAAATATTTTTAATTATCAACAATGGGCGGATTTTTTAAAAATTATTTTTCATGATCTAGAATGAGCGTGGATTTTTATACCCTACACAACTATTTTGTCAGGGTATTATAGCTTTGTGCAAGCCCAAGAGTTTGTAACGCCGCGAAATATTGGTCCTAGACCCATCTTTAAGTATACCGATCGTCATATCTCGACTAGCTGAGTCGATCTAGACATGTGTGTCCGTCCGTCCGTCTGTCCATTATAATTTGTAAGCACGATACAGCCACAGTTATGGACCAATCTTCAGGGTTAATATTTAGGGGATGGAATGGACACAAAAACATTATTTTTGTCTGATTTTCTGATTGCTCTAGAGGCCCAAACATCGCAAATTTTTGGCATGGGGAAGGAGATCGCCAGGGTATTATAGCTTTGTGCAGGTCCAAGAGTTTGTAACGCCGCGAAATATTGGTCCTAAACACACCTTTAAGTATATCGATCGTCATATCTCGACTAGCTGAGTCGATCTAGACATGTGTGTTCGTCCTTCCGTCTGTCCATTATAATTTGTAAACACAATGCAGGCCACAGTTATGGACCAATCTTCACGAAATTTTGCACATAGGATGGGCTCTGGCCAATGAAGACCCCTATTGTTTTTGGTAAAGATCGGTTAATATTTAGGGAATGAAATGAAATACTTAATTTTTTATCGGTTTTTCTGTTCGCTCTTGGTTGACCTTTAAATTGATACTAATTATATTGTCATATGCACTCGGATGTGGGAGTTACACTTAAATATTTACAGGTGCTTACGTTTTCAAATATTATTTAGTAACCCATACGCAACACTAGAGGGCGTAAATATAGCGGTGATCGCTTTAAAATGTTCCATGAGGTTCGAGTTACGGTCAAGGACAACGCCTATAATTTTTGGTGATGATCAGATTAAAATTTTGATGATCAGATTATAACTTATTTTGTGTGTGTGTGTGTTTTTTTTTAATCGATCCCATGGTGAAGGAAATCTGGACAAGTAATTAGAAGGGCTGTACTGAATATTAGAAATACTTGTTGACCTCTAGTCGGTCAAGAGGGTGTAGATTTCGCGGAATATTGCCCAAGCTCAGAATATAGAACCACAGAAAGTTATATTTTCGTGGAAGTTGTGTAAGATATCATATGGTCGGCCCGACCATCTATACTGCTCCGCTCACTCCTTTAAAAATATTTTTCAAGTTGGTAGGCGTGGATTTTTTAAAAATATGTTTTCACTGCCTAGCCATTGGCGTGGATTTTTATATCCTTCACCACACTGTGGTACAGGGTATTATGTCTTTGTGCATATGTTTGTAACAGGTAAAAGGAAACGAGATAGACACATGGTTCCTTTTGAGAATATGCATAGAATCACTTTCTAAGTCGATTTATGTATGCCCGTCCGTCCGCCCGTCTGTCTCTTTGTCTGTCAATGTTAAATTGTAAACAAAGTACAGGTAGCAGTCATTATACGAATTGGATGAAATTGGGCACAGCTCATTTATTTGGCCCAAGGACGAACCCTAATGAAATTGGGTAAAATCGGTTCAGAATAAGTATAGATCCCATAGATCCCGATTAAAGGTAAATGGTGCACCAAAGTCACTATATATCTTTCGATATGCAAAAAAATGACATAGCGTGCTGAATTAAGCCTAGAATGATGTGTGCCAAGTTTCGTGAAAATCGGTTCAGATGTAGATATAGCTCCCATATATATTTTCGTCCGATTTAAGGTAAATGGTGCACCAAAGTCCCTATATATCTTTCGATTTGCACGAACCTTGGCACAGCATACTAAATTAAGCCTAGAAGGATGTGTGTTAAGTTTCGTGAAAATCGGTTCAGATTTAGATATAGCTCCCATATATATTTTCGTCCGACTTAATGTTAATGGCTCACCAAAGTCCCTATATATCTTTCGATTTGCACGAAATTTGGCACAACGTATAGAACTAAGCCTAAAATGATGTGTGCAAAGTTTCGTGAAAATCGGTTCAGATTTTGATATAGCTCCTATATATATTTTCGTCCGATTTAATGTAAATGGTGTACCAAAGTCCCTATATATCTTTCGACTTGTACGAAATTTGGTATAGCTTACTGAATTAAGTCTAGAGTGACGTGTGTTAAGTTTCGTGAAAATCGGTTTAGATTTAGATATAGCTCCCATATATATTCTCGTCCGATTTAAGGTAAATGGTGCACCAAAGTCCCTAAATATCTTTCGATTTGCAAGAAATTTGGCACAACGTACTGAACAATGCCTAGAATGATGTGTGCTAAGTTTCGTGAAAATCGGTTCAGATTTAGATATAGCTCCCATATATGTTTTCGTCCGATTTAAGGTAAATGGTCCTCATATATCTTTCGATTTGCACGAAATTTGGTATAGCCTACTGAATTGAGCCTAGAATGATGTGTGCTAAGTTTCTTAAAAATGGGGTTAGATTTAGATATAGCTCCCATATATTTTTCGTCCGATTTAAGGTAAATGGTGCACCAAAGTCCCTATATATCTTTCGATTTGCACGAAATTTGGCACAACGTATAGAACTAAGCCTAAAATGATGTGTGCAAAGTTTCGTGAAAATCGGTTCAGATTTTGATATAGCTCCTATATATATTTTCGTCCGATTTAATGTAAATGGTGTACCAAAGTCCCTATATATCTTTCGACTTGTACGAAATTTGGTATAGCTTACTGAATTAAGTCTAGAGTGACGTGTGTTAAGTTTCGTGAAAATCGGTTTAGATTTAGATATAGCTCCCATATATATTCTCGTCCGATTTAAGGTAAATGGTGCACCAAAGTCCCTAAATATCTTTCGATTTGCAAGAAATTTGGCACAACGTACTGAACAATGCCTAGAATGATGTGTGCTAAGTTTCGTGAAAATCGGTTCAGATTTAGATATAGCTCCCATATATGTTTTCGTCCGATTTAAGGTAAATGGTCCTCATATATCTTTCGATTTGCACGAAATTTGGTATAGCCTACTGAATTGAGCCTAGAATGATGTGTGCTAAGTTTCTTAAAAATGGGGTTAGATTTAGATATAGCTCCCATATATTTTTCGTCCGATTTAAGGTAAATGGTGCACCATATCCCTATATATCTTTCGATTTGCACGAAATTTGGCACAGCGTAATGAATTAGGTCTAGAATGATGTGTGTGAAGCTTGGTGAAAATCGGTTCATGTTGAGATATAGCTCCCATATACATTTTCGTCCGATATAAGATTTAAATATAGCTCTCATATATATATATATATATATATATATATATATTGATTTAATGTAAATGGTGCACCAAAGTCCCTATATATCTTTCGATTTGCACGAAATTTAGCACAACGTATTAAATTAAGCCTAGAATGATGTATGCCAAGTTTCGTGAAAATCGGTTCAGATTTAGATATAGCTCCCATATATATTTTCGTCCGAATTAAGGTAAATGGTGCACCAAACTCCCTATGTATCTTTCGATTTGCACGAAATTTGGCACAGCGTACTGAATTATGTCCAGAATGACGTGTGCTAAGTTTCGTGAAAATCGGTTCAGATTTATATATAGCTCCCATATACATTTTTGTCCGACTTTTCATAAATGGTGCACCAAACGCCTAATGTTTGTCCGATTAACACGAAATTTTGCACAACGTATCAAATTGAGGCTTGAATGGCGTTATTAGAATTTCTTGAAATTTATGCAGATGCAGCCATAGCTTCCATAAGGAATTGTAAGGATACATATGTACAATATACCCAAAGTAGTGAAGGTTGTCATATAGTCGGCCCAGTTCGATTTTACTACTTTCCTTACTGGTTTAATAGCTTTTTTTCAAGTTGCCACCGAAGGCGAGGATTTTTTAAAAAATACTTTTTCAAACTGCCAACATTGGCGCGGATTTTTGAAATTAAAACCAAACTCTATTTAATGTGTGCAATAACTATTTATTTTATCGATTTCTAATTGTGTTGTTGTAGTTTTTTTTTTATAATATTCATTTAATATCACATTTCAGTAGTATCCACTCATATCCATTGTTGTATTTCCGATTCCATTCGATTTCCAAATTATCCTTCTGCCATAACGAATTTAATGGTCTTCCTTTGGTGGATGAGCCTTAATGTATTCGATGGCCTTAAGGATGGCTTCTGGAATTGGTGGTGGTGTTGGCAAGAGTTCACTGGCTGGATGATAACCAGTTTCATCAGCGGTATACGAGACTTGAACGTGTTCACCTTCGGGTGAGACATATTCATAGGAGCCGTGGATATTACCATGTACATCACCGGAAGCCTGTTCGTGAATGCCGTTCGAAGTTTCCAAGGCAATGTCAAAGCCATCGGGACGTACATCGGATTTCAATGACTTGATTTCGGCATGGACATCACTGTCGTTGGCAGCAGCAAAGGCCACGAAGAGGGCAAGGACCAACTGCGAAGAAATTTAAAAAAATTAGAGATTTTTTGCTACTTTCCTGAGGATCACTTTTTTCTTAGACTTACGAATTTAATCATGTTTGAGTTTTTTGATTAGACAAATATTCTACAAGTGGAGAACTGTGCTGTTTAGGCCTTCTGTTCTTCGTATTTATACACCAAAGAAAAATAATATTTTTTTTGGTAATTTCATAATTTGTTGTACTGGTTCGGCTACTAACATTTAATTCTTGGCTGCCGCAAATTTGAATTAACTTGCAGATTATTTTTAGAACTGCTCTCCCAATGAAATTTCATAAATTTATTTTTATTTAATTTTAATTCAATATTACGGTACTAGTCCATTAGAAGTTGTTGTTTTTTTAATTGGGGAGAAATATAAATGCGTAACTATGTTTCAGGTTCCTTAAGTTGAGGTTCAGTGCCCTGTTTCAGCAAAATATGCTGCAAGGTCTCCCAAAAGCATAATCTGCAAATGAGTCATGGGGAGGGGTACATTTGTAGTCAGATATTAATAGGAGAGAGGAGAGGGGGAGATATGAGGGGAGGAGAATTTTATGTTAATCGCCAAAAATACCTTGTGCTTCACTATAATACAAATGTAAAAAACTTAGAAAATAACAACAAAATTCAAAGCATACTTTGAGGCGGAATTATTTATACGAAGTATACAATTCGATTTAAACTTCAGTGCGGATTAAATGATGAGTAAAGGTTTCCATTTTTAAATTAATTTTTAACCTCTACTTAGAGGCCATAAGGCGTGGATTTTTTAAATAATTTTTAAGCCGTACTTAGAGGCCATAAGGCGTGGATTTTTTAAATCATTTTTAAGCCGTACTTAGAGGCCATAAGGCGTGGATTTTTTAAATCATTTTTAAGCCGTACTTAGAGGCCATAAGGCGTGGATTTTTTAAATCATTTTTAAGCCGTAATTAGAGGCCATAAGGCGTGGATTTTTTAAATCATTTTTAAGCCGTACTTAGAGGCCATAAGGCGTGGATTTTTTAAATCATTTTTAAGCCGTACTTAGAGGCCATAAGGCGTGGATTTTTTAAATCATTTTTAAGCCGTACTTAGAGGCCATAAGGCGTGAATTTTTTAAATCATTTTCAAGCCGTACTTAGAGGCCATAAGGCGTGGATTTTTTAAATCATTTTTAAGCCGTACTTAGAGGCCATAAGGCGTGGATTTTTTAAATCATTTTAAGCCGTACTTAGAGGCCATAAGGCGTGGATTTTTTAAATCATTTTTAAGCCGTACTTAGAGGTCATAAGGCGTGGATTTTTTAAATTATTTTTAAGCTCTACTTAGAGGCCATAAGGCGTAGATTTTTTTAATCATTTTTAAGCCGTACTTAGAGGCCATAAGGCGTGGATTTTTTAAATAATTTTTAAGCCGTACTTAGAGGCCATAAGGCGTGGATTTTTTAAATAATTTTTAAGCCGTACTTAGAGGCCATAAGCGTGGATTTTTTAAATAATTTTTAAGCCGTACTTAGAGGCCATAAGGCGTGGATTTTTTAAATAATTTTTAAGCCGTACTTAGAGGCCATAAGGCGTGGATTTTTTAAATAATTTTTAACCGTACTTAGAGGCCATAAGGCGTGGATTTTTTAAATAATTTTTAAGCCGTACTTAGAGGCCATAAGGCGTGGATTTTTTAAATAATTTTTAAGCCGTACTTAGAGGCCATAAGGCGTGGATTTTTTAAATCATTTTTAAGCCGTACTTAGAGGCCATAAGGCGTGGATTTTTTAAATAATTTTTAAGCCGTACTTAGAGGCCATAAGGCTTGGATTTTTTAAATAATTTTTAAGCCGTACTTAGAGGCCATAAGGCGTGGATTTTTTAAATCATTTTTAAGCCGTACTTAGAGGCCATAAGGCGTGGATTTTTTAATTAAGAATTTAATGTTAATGCTGCAGACGCTTTCGGTTTGAACGAACTTCTTCATTCTATTTCTTTTAACAAAACCAAAAATGGAACAAGTTCTTTAGCTCGGTAGCTAATTTTAATTTGTTTTGATGCACATTGTGAAATATATTGCCAGAACTTACTTGCATAAGCTGTTCTAGTTGTTGGTGGATAATTAGGGCAAGTTTGATTTTTAATGGGCAATTTCAAATCTTCTGTCTTCGGGTGGGGTAAATGGGAAAATACTAGTAAGCACCGTTAGCTATAATCGGAACTAGTTTCAACTTTCCTATGAAGTTTGGATATTAAATTCAATACTAGTCCGCAATCTAATTTGATCTTCCCCTAGCCACAGAATTTCTTTAAAAGCTACACACAATTCGGAAGAAGGTACAGTTCAATTCTAGTCAGAAATCAGAACATTTATCTAAACAAAAAAAAAAATGTTTAAATTTGTAAGTCAACATAATACTATTTCCTTATCACGATATAAAATCTCTGTGTTCCCCCCTAGGTCCTTGTTGCCACCCTCTTGGCCTTGGTTATGGCCAATGAGCCCCTTCTCAAGAACTATGTAAACGATGTTCGTGCCGATGGTTTTGAAACCAATTGGGATTTGGAACATCACAGCAGCCAGCATGTTGTGGGCGATGTACATGGTAACATGCAAGGATCTTATGAATATATCACTCCTGAGGGCGAACATGTTAAGGTAACCTATACTGCCGATGAAAATGGTTATCATCCCGAGGGTGAATGGATCCCTACACCACCACCAATCCCAGATTATATCTTGAAGGCCATTAAATATATCGAAAGTCATCCCCACCCTGAACATTAATCGGAAAGAAATATATGTATGAATTTCAAAGAAATGAACAGGACAAAAATAAAAAATCTGTAAAAAAATATATGCTTAAAAATTATTTTGAAAAATCTATGATTTGGGGTTCCTGAAGGGGTCTTAACAATTATTTTGAAAAATCTATGAT